ATTTAAGTTGTCAGTGAGTGGTGGGCCACTCTGTATATATATATATATACAGTTATGTAATATATACATATATTTATGTTATATATATATATATATATACATTTATATAACATAAATAAGTATAAAAAAGGTAATATCTAAGACACAATAATTATAACAGAGGACTTCAACTTAGCTACTAAAGCTAAAAGAGATTAAAATATTTAATTTAAAAATATAATAGCAATATACGACTTAGAGTAGCGAACAAACTTATGGTTGGAGATGTGTACACATTAGTTATTCAAAATTGCCTTAAACGCATAATTTTCTTTGGGTTCTAACATCTTCTCAAATATTTTTTATAATGCACATAGGACAATACTTATTTATCTTAGATTTGTCGCCAAATTTAAAAACTGGATTAACAAAACTATACATCGTTGCATAAAAAATATCCCAGAGGATAAAGATAGAAAAAGTAAAAAACGTATGCAATGAGTAAGAGAATATTAAAACTTTTTATAAACTATCTTAGTGACTTTATCAAGTTATTGCACTATTTTTGTTCAATAACTTATTATACAACTAATTTTGAAAGTGCATTAAATACTTTAGATATACTAAACTTACAATTAGGAAAATTAATATTATCAGTATCTATAGATCTATGAGACGTTGCATTTCTTGACATATAATCTGAATTAAAATACTCAAAAAAACATATTAATTATTAATCAAACTCAACCTATTATATTCTAAAACAGATTGTAGACAATACGTATTTTTGGATTTATTCGCATAACTCAAATAGTATTTTGGATTATGAATTAAATTTCAATATTTAAATATTTATATTTTTATATACAAGTCCTCTCATGAAATATTATAAGATAATTGATTATTTATTAGCTACTTAGTTTAGAAAATCTTTTACACGGGAATTAAAATAATTACCATGGTGGTAACTATTTTGAATAGACAAGAAAAAAATGAGCAAGTGCTAGAAGTACGAGAAGAAAAACAGCTGATGAAGTTGATTGGATCAAGTTAATCGGACACATCATACGCACAATGACTTTATAATCAACATTCTTCGAAGGACAAATAACTGTGAAGAAACCAAGAGGGCGCCCAGGGAAACAATATATTAATCATATCCTGGAACTAATGAACTGTGCATCTTTTGTTTCACTGTAGTTTTTGGCGTCAGAGAAGAGTGGTTTCAACGACAAGGCATTGCCTTTAATAGATGATGACGATGATAACCATGGTGGTTACTGGGTTAATGCTCAACAATGACCATAGTATATCCCAACGGTTCTATTGATATACTGATAACAGTTTTTCGAGTTCACAATAATTATTGTTGCTTTCAGTTCACCTACTCTATACGCAGTTTAATAAAACACTACTTTCTAGTTCGTACTCGAGGAAATACAGTACTATCATTTTATACCTTAACTAATAAATGTCTTGAATTTGTTTTTAATTTTCGAGTAACTGCGCAAAAGTGATTTTTTTACGGATACGGTTCTTGACACGACATAAAAATGTTGGATCAAGAAAATCAGGTAAAACAGTTTACTTCTTTAACACCTTTTTAATATTATTATTATGTTGTTATTTTATATTTTTTTGTCAAATGCTTCACAACCAAATAGTCCTAGGACGGTCCTCAAGTTGTTTTAAAGGTAAGATTAATGGTAATAAGTTTTTGAATAACAGCTGTAATATTGCATAGCTTAAATAAATGGATAGAAGAAGATCAAGCACAATTTAACATGAATAAATGATGGTGAAGGGTTGAAACAAAAATATTCATTTAAATGAAATTGTTCTCAAAATTGTATGGAAACTTTCTTTTTGTGTCATACATTATTAATACTTAGTTTTGTATTTGAGGCAAAAATATAACTTTTCAGTATTTGATTCAGTAAAATTTTGTATCTTTTGTAAGTGATTAATTAGTATATCAATAAATTTTTAACATTATTTAATTTTGGCTTTCAACTTCAGACAATGGCAAAATCACAAAAATGTTAAATAACTGTTATTGTCTCATTTTTACAGAACTATATCATATCTTTCATGTACATTATATCTTTAATACACTGTGTACCTAAGTAGGCTTTATTGGTGGGTGTTAGTAAACAGTACAACTTCATATGAAATCTATTTATGTTGGTAGATGCGGTTTTAATGTCTATACTATCATTGTAATAATTAAATATTTGTTTAATAGTATATTTGAGTGATTAAAATATATTATTATGGGTTAGATTTGTTTGCTGTTTTCTTTAAGTGATTTGTTAATTTGAAATTATTTTATTATATTTTTGGCAGTAATAATAGTTATGTATTTTCTAGACATTTATATTAATGAGTTATAGTTAAAGTATCACTTTGCATTTAGTGCTATTACTTATACTTAATAATTCATAATTATTATTGATTATAATCGATTTATAATAATAAAATTTAATTAATAAATAAATGGAAAATTATGTTTCAGCATAATCTGCCAAATGGGATTGAACCTAATAGATCATTTCAAGATAAAACAGTTATTAAAGATAGTAAGTTGAAAACATTTTTATTCTTCTAATTAGTTCCTAACAAAATATGCACATGATTGTTAATAATAATAAAGTTAATATCTAATAATAATTATTATCAAATAGATCAAAATGAATCTCTAGATATATCACTAGCTGATTTTAATGTGTCCCAACTTGCAAATAAATTAGAATCTTTGGCTTTAGCAACACCACAGACAATTAAAACTAAACCAGCAAACACAGTTTTTGAAAAAGAATTTGATTTAAAGGATCGTTCTGATTCAACAGATTCTGAAAGTGGAAGACCATTAATTTCCAATAATAGTTCTATTTATAGATCTTTTATAGCTGACAGTGTTGAAAATCTAGAATTAGAACTTTCATCTACTTTATGTCATGATGAATTAAATAAAAACTGCAGTAATATTGAATCTTTCCATGAAACCTTATCATCTGTGAATTTAGATTTAGTCAGTTCTGAGTTTGACGATTCCCAAAATTTATTACACCAATCAACATTGGATAATACAATAAACATATCAGACTATAAAAATTTAGAAACAAAAAATAACAGTTCTATGGATGGTTTAGAAGCTGAGATCAAACTTCAGGTATGTTATTGTTCAAAAGTATTTATAATATTATATAACAAAATTAATTTTTTTGTAGCAATTAAATATATCAGAAACTAATATCAAAAATTCTAGTGAAGCTGGTCCAGTAATAGCTGAAGGTATTAATACATTTATCATACTGAAACAATTTTTTTTTTTACTTTGAAAGGTTTAATACTAAAATTCTTATCTATAATTCAGTGTTTATGGGTTCTTGAGAATTGCTTTCTTATTTTGTTTTTCTTTACTATAATGAATTTTTAATAGTTTCCATAATATTTGACATTAAATAATATTAAGTTGTTATTTTTTATTTTTATAGGTTTTACACCTGCTGTTGGGTTTA